TGTGATAAATTGGGCCTTTTGGATAATCCTATCAGATTAGCATTTGCATACCAGCATACATTATTCATTCAGTATCTGCCTCTCCAATTAGTTGAAGCCAGGTTTTCTCTAGAGAGGTTTTAACATCTGTGCGACCCTGGAAATCCTGCGGGAGATTCGAGCTAATCAGCCTCAGCCTCCTCAGCTTGTTTTTTGCCGGTTTACTATTTTTACCTTTCGTTCTTTCTCACTTTTTCTTGCTCTTATTTTGACCTGTCCTGGGCATCATGCTCCAGTGGGAGTTTTCTCTCTGTGAATGTGACAAAGGATCAGAATGTGCTGACAAAATGCCACTGCCATGACTTTCAGTGAGGGCGGTGCCCCCTCAAAGCCCCACTCAGGTCGGTATAGGCCCATTGCCAAAATATTTTTAGCGCTATATGTCCAAACCGTGCCCCTTGGATTTCACCCCCTAATCTATTGATCAATCCAGTGCTGAGTGCCATCTGTTGAAAACGTCCGTCCGCTTATGTGGTTTGTTATTTTGACTACTAGCCCTTTTCTGTCTTTGATGCTTTTTTCTGTATTTATGCCATAGATAACAGGGATTCTCTGATGGCTGACTACGTCTCGCCACAGTCTAGACTCCTTACTTCACCCGCTGACTCGCTGTCTGCTTCTGTGCCTGTCTTCATCCTGACTGACTGTCTTTTGAGTCGCTGCTTCAAGGCTTGAAGCATCTGACTGCTTGACAGATTGTTTGACTCTTTGACTTATTCACTCATGTTTTCGAAGCGAATCATTGGTTGGATTGATCTGTGCCCCTCGTGTGTCTATAGGGAGCGATACTCCCTTGCCCCGTTCTCACTTTCTTTTTCCTGCTTATTAGACACAACAGCCTTCCCCTAGGACTCCATTGCTTCTTTTAAACTTGTCTTTCTTTTATCTGGATTTATTTTCAGCTCACCCTTCACTTCTCTTCTTTGGAGGCTTTAATTCTTGTTGATTCTGTTTATTAGTGGATGCTGTCGTGGTTTGGAAGGCACATCCTGCAAGGGCGGTGCACCTCTGGCGGAGAGGGTAATTCATTATTCCCTGTGTGCGTAGATGTTCCTGGGGGATGAGGGAGTACGGGAAAGACAGCTTTGTAACCTGGCTTCTTCCTCTAGCTGTTTATCCATGTCTGCCTCTCCTCATAGCTGTCTTTCCGACTGCTGTTTGGTTTTTATTAAAAAAGGCAGAATTTTAGTGCTTGTGCTGAACGAGACAGGTGTTGCTCTGATCTTTCCATGTAGTCATCACTAGAATCTTAATGCAAAGAAAGCCACAGTCACATAAACATAGCCTGGGGTTGAGACATGCACTCTAAGCATTAGGTTTGCTCAAACTCCCACTATGACTCTGCACTGCCAATAGGGATACCTTTGCGCTTCTTGTAAGCTGTCAAAAGATTAAGAGGAGGTGTGATTAGCATGAAGAAACAGCAGCCCATTCATCTGAGCTGGCTGTAGATGAATAGAGGAAAATGCAAACTAGTGTAATTTAAAAGCCAAAGTCTGTTTTTAATGGTTAGCGAATTTAGAAAAGCGAATATAAATAAAAAAGGTGGAAAGAGAGAAATTACTGAAGCATTTCTTTTAAGAGATTTGCTCCAAAAGCAAGATACTGCACACCAGAATATCTAGTTTTGATTTCTTCTTGTGGGCATATTTAGTATCACTTGGGAGTACAAAATAAATTATCCACGTTTTTGTTGGGTGTGCTATTTTAGTAGCGCTTACTAAGGAGCCTGTACCCTGTGCTGTTGTTTTTTCTGTTTTGTCAAAAATTAATTATAAAAGTTGAATGCATTCTTTCATTTATTTTCTTTTTGGCTTAGTTCTTTTATTAATCTGGGGTCACCACCGCAGGATGAACCGCCAACTTATCCAGTTTTATGCAGCGGATGACCTTCCAGCTGCAACCCATCACTGTGAAGCATCCACACACTCTAATTCGCACACATACACTACGGAAAATTTTAGCTTACCCAATTCACCTATACCGCATCTCTTTGGACTCATGGGGAAAACCAGAGCACCCGCAGGAAACTTACGTGAATGTGGAGAGAACATGCAAACTCAACACAGAAATGCCAGCTGACTCAGCCGAGGTGCGAAACAGCGACCTTCTTGCTGTGAGGCGACAGCATTACCTACTGCGCCACTGCGTCGCCAAAGTTGAATGCATTATAATATAACTTGTATATCTCAACAAGTAATTGATTTTTTTTTTAATTTATACAATTAAAACCTAAATACATTTGAATAATTTTACTTTTGTTTACTTGGTAAAAGAAAAAAATGAGATTGTCACACTAAGCGTGTTTGTTAAATTGCTTTATTTCATGGTGTGTTGAAATTCCTGATTCTGATTGGCTGAAAGGTGTGCAATAAATGAGCAGAATCACACTCATAGCAGTGCAATATGGGTTTATATCCGCACTGGTGCCTTAGAGTCCCACCAGTGACAATATACAGCCATATATCACTGCTAGTAGAGTGTGATATTGCGTTTATACAACTGTTTGATGGCATAATTGTGTATATAAAAAAGAAATTAAAACATGGAGAGTTTAAAAACCTTTTTGTATGAGGAAAAACACTAAACAAATGCTGTTGTTTCTTCTAAAGTAAGAAACGTAAACAGGAGACTCATTAGAAACAAACAGCTGACCAGCCAAAAAGTGACTCTGGTTATACAAAGAGTGACCAAAACAAAATTCATACATTCCTGACATGTGAGTTCCATCTCACACTCAATAAACTACAATTATTATGGTATGAATACAGCACTACAACATACAAAATAGACAGATCGACTTGGAGTGTCACTTACCACTTTTATAATGATTTGATCAGCTGTAGTTTGAAATTACAGATTTTGTCTTCTAAAGGGTTTATTATGAGGTATCTGTCGCCATCTTGTGGATGGACAACGTCAACCATCTTTGCTCTGCTCAGTATGACAGGCTGATGGTATCTCCAAATTATAAATATTTAAAATAGCCACTGCCCTTATTAATAAACTGCATAGTTTCAATCTAAACAAGTACATCCTCTGCCTAAAAAAGCCTCAAAAGTGCATTATGTTGTCTAACAGCAGCAGTATTTGTCAAACTGTATTGAGATTTGCTGTCACTCTATGTGGGCAGAGTGATACAGAAAGGTAAGGAGACTGTACGAGTGCTGGTATTATGAGAATATCGCACAGCTATCAGCCACTCTGATTCGAGAACCAGACAGAACTGTTGTATGAAATAGTTTAATACACAAGTGGTTCCAGTCAGTTTTGATCACAGTTTGAAACAAATGAGCAAACCTCAATCTTTAGTAGTAATTCAGTGACACTTGCCAGAGTCTTCATTCCTCTTTGTAATCTTGAGGACATCACTGTATGGTTCATCAGGGAATTAATTCACAAATAGGCTACAAAATATTTGCTAAGAGGTAGCTACATGTTATCTGAGCTATTAGATATGACCGTGCCGTTAATATGCACAGACATGATCTCTCTCACGCGCTCCCTCTCTGTCTGGCTCTGACTGTTGATTCAGTGTGGGGACTAGGAGATTTAAATTGTCATAACTGATAAAAATGCAAAAATAATGTCCTGCAAAGAACAAAACTACTTTGAACTTGTTAATAAATAAGCAAACAACCATAGAATAAGTGGGATAACTGATGGCTTGCTGTGTGTTGAAGGGTATCAAATGCACTGTGCTTCACATTAGGAGTGATTTTTTTTTTGTCTCTGCGTCAAGCATTTTAAAATCCTTTAATAAGAATAAATAATTTGATTATCTCTTACTTATTCCTTATCTTGTATCATTGCATGCTTTCAGGCAGACTTAGCCATCTTTATAAGGTCTAATGAATGAACTGGTGTTTCACATATAAGGCATAGCTACACTCTTGTGTTTCAGCATAATGCTGATCCTGACACGCTTGGAGTTGTCTTACTGCTCTCATTAAGGGCTAGTTTTACAAGTGGCATCATGACTATGAGAATTTAATCCGGCTTGTGTTCTAAGGGCGGTTATCTCCATTGTACTGTCTTTAATGTGACAAATAGGCCTCCATTGTCCCACTTTACATAAGAAACAGAGCTACTAGTGCTGCTATCACAATAGGGGTTGTGATTTCTGCAGAATAATGGTGGCATGCTTATAATATCTCTGGTTCCTGTATCATTACGAGTATGGAACGCTCTATTCACCTTAAGTGTGCTGTTGTGAGTGTTTGCACCGCTGTCCCCATAGAAATGCGAAACCATGCACATAAATGAATTATATTGGCATGCATTAAACATGAGACATGATTCATTGACATTTGGTGGGTGGAAGTAAACAATGACGAAGTTGTTATTGTTTTGTTCCTGTTTGTGTGGTTGTATTGGTTTCACCCAGCTCGAGTCAATTATATTAGACAAATTCTCATTACAAGGAACATTTATGCATGAATTCCCTGAAACAAATAAGGAGCAAGAGCCAGCGCTGTTTCATACTGGCATCATTGTTGCTTATGATAATGAATGTGCAGTGAGGGGAGTATCCAGTCAGGTTAAGCGACCCTAAGGATAGAAGAGATGTTGGGTTTAGAGGCTGGTAAGTGAACAGCAACTGGGCTAGATCATGCCAGAGGTGATCCGTCAAAGGCTTGTTGGCTTATCTAAGGCAAGCCTGGGCCTACGGATCCAAATCATAGTGTGCGATAACTGTTTGCCTAATCACTGGTAAAGGAAGAAGGAAATGAGCTGACTGTCGATAGGCTCCAGGAAATTAAATATGCTCCATGCGCTGCAGAAATGAGATGGTGTCAGAGTTCTCTCTAGCTCTGAAATGATGCTGTTAAATATGGAAAATGCTCCCATAGGATTGCAGCTATTGTTCGTTTGAGTCTATTCCTTCTTTTACTGTCACATTGAAATCAAAGTCTTAACCAAATGATCTGACCTTCTTTATTCGTTTCCCTCTTTTCCAGTTTCTGTGTCTGAAGAACATACGAACATTCCTGAAAGTGTGCCATGATAAGTTTGGCTTACGGAACAGCGAGCTGTTTGATCCCTTCGATCTCTTTGACGTGAGGGACTTTGGGAAGGTGAGTAACAGTGGTTTTGCTGATCATGCAAGTTATCTGGCTCTATTAATCATTTTACCCGGTCTTCGCCACTGAAAGACATTAATGTTGTGTGCACTTTTACGGGAGATTAACCCATAAGTGGGGCTATTGTGCATCAGCTTTGTTCTACTTCTTACAACTCACTCGCACACACAATCCATTAATGCTGGGGATAATATTAGAGTGTGTGCCATGCCTAATCGGCCCTGTGTGGATTTCTTCCCTCTAGTCTTATCTCCGCTACTGTGCATTTGAATATTCACATGCACATTTGCTCACACACCTCGGGGTCACAAGCAGGCATATGTGTGCCAGTGCATATTTATGCCACTACCCATATGGTTTGAGAGTTTAAAAAATATTTTTTTGCATGTTTCCAAGGATTTTAGCAGTAGACATTTGATTTGACTGAGACTAGCTTTTTGCAGTGATTTAGGGGTGGGTTGTGTTGGAAGCATCCAATAACTATTCAGTGTAGCATCTAGCCCATTGTTTTTACACTTTGCTGCCACTGGTTTCTACTCTTCACATATGGGAAAATGGTTTTGAATGTTTGTGTATTTGAAGAGACCACTTGTAGCCCGTTTCCACTGAGTGGTACCGTACGGATCGGTACACTTTTATGCCCATTTTCACTGTTAAATGATACCAAAAAGCGAACTGTACGGTACGTTCTTTAGGGTACCATTTCCAAAATAACAAATTTCTTAAGCTGATGATAATATTGTGTGCGTAATTATTGAAGAGCTTCTAAAATCTGATCCTTTCAGAAACGGACAAATGAGCAAATGATTCTTTCAGCAACCTAATGCCCCGTTTCCACTGACTGGTACAGTACGGTACGATACGGGTTTCTAATGGTACCCTTTTGGTGGGCATTGTGTATGATAAAGTTTTAGTCTACATCATTCTCGCTTGAGGAAATGTCTACAGTAAAGCTGCACGGGTCGTTTACACATCATATGAGAAGCACTTCTCACAAAACAGATGCTTTATACACATAAATACTTGTGTATAAATGTTCATTAATAACCTTTCTATGTACATAATTGATTATAAATGCCGATCAATGATACTGCGAAATAGCCTATTGTAACGTTTGAGATTATATGAAATAAATAAATAAATAAATAAACGCAACATGTATGAACGCATACAGACCCTTACAGTCTCTGATAAATTACCAATTACAGAAAAACTGCACACAGCATACATTTAGTCCTTATTTTGGTTCAAAAACAAAATGCAACCCTAAAACCCTACATATAACATATAAACCTCTCATCTGTATCTCTACTCTTCACCAGCGCACATGTAACCTTTGTTAGAAAGTAATTCTGTCATTCTGAGTTCATAATATAAATAAAAAAGTAAATAAAAAGTTTGTTCATGTTTTAGGTTGCTGAAAGAATCATTTGCTCCTTTGTTTTTACGTGCTTCACTTTTGTGAAAAAGAAAAACAGCTTGCGCTTCAGATGGCCTTATAAACAACTACGGGGCACAGAGTAGATTCTGCTCTTCTTCTTGGCTTCGTGGCTGTTTATCAAGACGACGATAAAGTTCGTTTAAGCTCGGGCCGACCATGGCATGTTATTATATGTATATATTATTAAGGTGTAATGTCTCGGCTGTGTATTCAAAAATGGCGCTTACTTTGTTTTCATTCTCCTGGCTTGTGCACGAGCGAATGACGTATCTCTGTAAACTAATACCGTTCAGCTGCACATCTTGCTTCACCTTTTGATACCCTGTTGTTCTCTTTTTTTCACACCTTTTGACAGAGGAATCATCCATAAAAGTCTACCGAACCGTAGCATACTATTAAAGATGAACAAATGCCCATATTTAATTATTATCATCGTCTTTTTGACTATTATAAACTCGGAATGACAGGATTATTTTTTAACAAGATGTTAACATTAGATGCGCTGCTAAAGAATAAAATTGAGAGGTTTGTGCTGACTGTATTTGTTTTATACCGTTTATGAACCCAAAAAAGACCTAAATGTAAGTTCTGGGTATTTTTTAATTGTAACTGTTAACATTTCAGATACTGTAAGTCTCTGTATGTATTCATAAATGTTTTATTTTTTATTATTTTATATAACTGCAGACATTACAGTAGGCTATTTCACAATATCATTGATCTGCAGCTATAATAATATCCTATTTCATAGCAAGGTTAGTAATAAACATTTATTTACACATAACTATTTATGTATAAAGCTTTTGTTTAGTAAGAAGCTGTTCTCATACTATATGTGATCTTTAAGCAAGATTGACGTCAACCGCAACTTTTTGTCGAACACCATGCCCACCAAAAGGGTATTATTGGTAACCAATGGCGGAGAAACAAACCTGATAAAGGTAATCTGTACCAAACCAAACCGTACCATACTGTACCACTCAGTGGAAACGGGTCATTGAATCCTCTTTTTTCTGTGTATAAAATTTACAGTTGTTTTTGAGTAAAGTATGATTTTTGTTTACTATGTAAACTAGCGACTTTTCTTTTAGATTAAAATTCAATCTCTGCATAAAATGCCAAACAATATTTTCAAAAATATTTCTACTAGTTTCTTAGACATAAAAATTCCAATATTTTTAAAGTTAAGAAATTAACATTTGTTGGAATAACTCTTATTTTCAGGCTTAAGGTCTTTGCACACTGAAGTCCAAAATTTTTGCATTTTTTTCGTAGTCATATGCAAAAAAATTCATCATGTAAACAAACCTTGCACACTGAGTCCAATAGGTAATAACTAATCTACAGTATTACGAAAAAACACAAAACATTTCGGAGTCAATTTAAGCAGTGAATCTTTGTTCTAATCTCTTCTCTAAAGTACAAAAAGAAAGAGGATTATGCTGCATATTGTGTTCATGCAGTACTAGAAGGAGAGTTTAGCTCATTATCAAAGAGCTGCACTACGATTATCCCGAAATGCAAAGTTTATTTCAGGAAATCAGTGGAATTTGATTCATTGCTTGTGATATATTATGCATTCACATAAATAAACAAATCCTGAACAGAGACTGGCAGTACCTATAGACATTATAATAGATGGTGGCCACATTGACTTGTTAAAGCAACACAACGGAAGCTGACCATGCTTTTTATTATGATGTATGCTGTAGGCTACCTCAAATGTATGGACACACACACTCACCAAATAGCAACAGGGCAGATGTGCGCCAGTCACTGAATCCAGTCTTTATTTTATGCATTGTGTTTGTCATAAAATTATCTGTAGCTCAAATGATGAAATTCTGTATTTAGCTTTTCACTTGTACAGTGGCTCTGAACTGTCAAAACACCTCTTAAAGAGCTTTTTTGAACGCGGAAAATGGAAAAAATTAAACCCTATTGAATTTTTTTTTGATGGATGGATGAAATTTAAAAAAAAAACAGTGTGTCTATACCACTGACACAACATGAGGTCGAATTTATTTTTTAACGTGCGAAAATGCAGACGAAAATTTTGGATTTAGTGTGCAATAACCTTAACTCTTTTAAAAATCCCTGTTTGATTTCAGATTGTCAAGACATTTTGTGCATTTCTGTGGAATACTCTCTTTCTGTTGTGCATGAGTGCCCTTAAGCTGACTTTGCTCTGACAGTCAACCTAGTATTGGAGAAAATGTGATGTCCTTAAGAACAACTGAATCCTGATCTTTATATCACAGTGGCAGTTTAGTCAATGCACTGACCTCCATGACAGAAGCTCATTCTTAATTCTGTTTCTTCATGCTAAGTCAGCCTCACGTCTGCTGTTTATGTTTGAGATGGATTTCTCTTAATTATTAGAATAGTTGTGATAGTTATTAGTAAAAAAAAAGTGCTGTAAAACTGCTATTAGTCAAAGTAAAGGGAACACAACCTTCCTAATATTGATTGTTTCAGTTCCATGAATTGATCGAGCTTCATGAAGTATTTACAGGTGCAAAGCACTTGCTCAACCATTGAAACGTTTCCAATCCAATAGTTCCGGTTAACTACATCTCAGCAAGCATGTCTAGACATTTCCAGTGTGTGTGTGCGGTCAGGAAAAAAAAGTAATGGCAAGACAGAGGGTGCGTTTTGAAGTCTCAAAGGGAGGAGCGTAAAGAGTAAGATTAAGCCTTTGCCAGACGGTGAGCTTTAATGGATAATGTGGAAGACGGTGAGTGAGAGTCAATGAGCACACGGAAAACAATATTAAAACCCTCAAGCAGTCGGAATCAATCACACACACCCTCCACATGTCAATGTGTAAATTGTGTTTGCGTCGACTCGAAGGTGACGGGCTTGTCCTGTCATTGATTCTCCATTAAGGGCAAGCAGCGCATTATAATATATTGAAGTAGGCAGCTCGATGTCAGTGCACCATACATGCAAATCATCTACCTTTCTTTTAAATGAAGAGAGACGGATGCTTCTCAGGCTTTAAAGCTGAAGGATAGAAAGCATTTTTAATCTCTCAATAGCACGTACGTTGTTGAACTTTCACCTCAGGCTGCTATATATCTCCCTGTGCTGTCAAGCTGCTCCTTGTGTCCTTGTAGTTGGTGGAATAGTTAACTTTAGGGGTGTAAAGGTATGCATTCATCATTGTTTGGTTAATGTAGTCCGATAAATACACAAATTTACACAATGTGTCTTTGCATCTAAAGACAAGAGATGCTGCACTCAGGAATGATTTTCAAAAACCACAATGTTGTACTTTTAACAGAAGCTTGCAATGCTTGCACCACCTTCGTGGTTTATCTTAACTTGGCATCTTAAAAACGTAGCACTCGTGTCTTTGCGAGGCTAATCTGCACTGATTGGTCCTATGACTCAGTCTTTTGTGATTGGTCAACTGCATTTAGCACGAGACAGAGAGAAATGCCCTGCATACTGCTTATGAAGTGCAGAGTATATGTGTGATACCAATGCAGAAATGCAACAAAGCAATGCAGTTAAACACTATTCTTAACCCTAACCCCAAGTAATAACA